GGGGGGGGTATACATGATTGCCACCGAAGAGGAAATCAGTAATGCAAGTTTATATTCAAAAATCAAATTTTGAGTTGAAAAGCAAAGCGAGGGAGTCCAATTGCTCGAGCGCACCCCCGGTCCCTCCCTTTTCCCGCCATTTTCATTCCCCCACACTCCAGAAGATTCCATCCTCCCTGCCTTCCAGTTCCTCCGCCACCGCCACCGCCGGCGAAGGATGGGGACCCGGGAGTGGCCGCTGCCTTGCTTGTACGAGCTCTTCCTTGGCAAAGGTAACTGATACCCTCACCTAGTCGACCGTCGATCGATCTGCCCTCCGTCCGCCGGCCGTCTCATCGTTCGATTTCGCTTGCTGTGCAGAGCGCGCCCGGTGGCCGCCGGAGGCCAGGTTCATCAAAGCCGCCCACCACGGCGACGTCCTCGAGATCAAGAGTAAGCGCCGCATTTCACCAAATCCCCCAGTTCACTCGCTAGATCTGGCCGGAGGCTTAGGGTTTGGCTGCGTGTGTGCTCCGCTTCCGATTTAGCGAAGATTTTGGGCGAGATACAGTTCCAGGGTCTCAATTTTGCCTGTGATTTAGGTTGGAGTGCTGGGGCTTGGGGTTTTTTCTCGTCACAAATGGGGGTTTTCACTTTTCAGACCAAATTCTTGGCCCCCTTCCAAAGAATCAGCGGCGATTTCTTTCTGATTCCGATTCCAGTATTTATATACTGAGTTCTTGTCCCGATTGGTAACTAAAAGTTCCCCCTTTGTTGTCTGTCTGAACTGAAGAGATTGCAAAGGAGCTGGACGTGCAGGGGCATGGGATCCCGGTGACGGTGGCCAACACCACCTACATGGGCATGAACGCCCTCCACGCGGCAGGTGGGCTCGGCAGGCTGCCGGTCTACCGGTACCTCGTCGAGGAGGTCAAGATGGACACCCACAAGCCTGACACCCTCATTGGTAATTTGCTTCCTGATCCTAATGAAAATGTACTGTCCTCTCCACTTGGACAATTTGTGTGGCTTTAACTTATGATGACTTGACCATCCACTTCGGCCTGGCCGTGTGGATCTTCCTGCTAGATTTTACGCCCGTGGAGCATGCTGTCAAACATGGCCACCTCCCTGCCATCAAGTACCTTCTTGACCATGGTGCTGATCTGCCTCTGCAACGCGGAGATGACACTCTTCTTCATTCAGCTGCAGCTCGTGGTACAAACAAAAAAGAAATTGCTGCCCTGATAAATATCTGTAACTATTTAATATACCATCTTGTTCAAGCTGTTAAAAGCAGTTTCCCCCTAAAGTATGTATTCAGTATGACTACCAACTTATGCTAACAGATCATAGTGATTTTTATTTTTCGTATATTTATATTCAGTGCAATGTGAACCAAGAGAGTTGCTTTCCTCCTCTAGCTATTGAAACCTCCTTGCCCAAAAACAGTTGTAGAACACTACAAGGTAGCAGCAGATATTATGTCCGAGAGCCTTCTGTTGAATGTGGAGAGGAATGCCGTAGCGATAAAAGTGGATTTATTTTACCAAGACTAAGCTAACCTACGATACACAATTTTGCTGTTGCTGCAAAAAACAGTTTTTCTTTTGTTGCCATTACTTAAATCAACACGGACCTTAGTTGTTTCTCATGTTCATGAGCATCTGCATATTGTTCAGTCTTAAGAAAATCTTAAACATAGTTGTCACATTAATTCGGGTTTCTGTCTCACACATGTGAAATTAGTCCATGTGCCGTCAGCTTGGTACCAATTTCTTTAGGCATTCTGTATACCCTTTCAGTCCATGGATCTTCTTGCACGATATCTATTTCATATGTTGTTTTGTTCTAGCCATTGAAACGGATTTCCCAAACATGTCTGCTTACTTAGAGCATCTCCAACAGGCGCCCGAACACGCCGCGCGCAAAAAACTGGTTCGCCGCGCGCCCATCGCCTGGATTAGCGCGGCGCGCAGCGCTGGCTTCAGCAGCTGCGCTAAAATGCAGCGCGCGCTCACAACAATTTTTTTATTTTAGATCAATCGAAGGCATAGATAAATAAACTAGATAGATTGCATAAATAAAAAACGATACAAAGGTATTTTACATCGATGCAACTAGATAGATAGTTCGAAAGCATAGATAAAACTACGATGCAACTAGATAAAACTAGTCCAAGTCACTACCATCATCACCATCATCATCCTCGTCGGTGTCGTCCGAGGTTGAGAGCCATATGTCCAACCAACGATCATCGTTTTCCGTGAAGAACGACCTCCCGCCTGCTGCAATATATCTGACTGTGCATTCGCCAATGCCTTCCGCCGACGCCTGTTCAACCGCTCCTCGCGGCGCCTTCGCGTGTCCTCCTCGCGGCGCCTTGCCCAGTAGACTTGCTCGTAGGAGACGTCCTCCGGGTGGCGCCGGCGCCACTCCGCCATGACCCGCTCGTCCTCCTGGGCGACGAGGAGGCGGCGCTGCCGCGCAGCGTGCTCCGCACGGTCTTGTGTCGTGTTAAGCCGAGGCGACGGGGCGACGTCCAGCGCCTGCTGGAGCGTGTAGACATCTTGGAAATTCATCTGCCCGCGCGGCCTGCCTAGGCGCCACGCCGCCGCGTCGTACGCGCCGGCGGCCTCATGCGCCCTCCCGTAGGTGCCGAGGCCGAGCCGGAGATCGCCGGAGCGTATCTCGGAGTAGTAGCCACCGTTGGGGCGCAGGCGGACGCCGCGGTAGCCCGACGCTCCTCGGTGGTGCGGCGGCATGGTGGCGCGTCGGTGGCGGGGCGCTGGAGCGGTGGAGGCGCACGTGGCAGAGGAAGAGGAAGAGGAGGCGTGGAAAAGGCGCGTGGCGAGCGCCGCATTTTATAGGCGCGCCGGAAGCGGTGCGGCAAAAATGGTGCGCGAGATGCCGCCTTTTCGCGCGTGCGCGCAAGCGTTTCCCCCGCGCGCGAGTTTCCCGTCACCGCTGGAGCGCGGCAAAACGTCCCGCGCGCGCTAAAAGCTGGGTTTACCGCGCGCGCGCGTCTTTTGGCGCGGCCGCTGGAGATGCTCTTAGTATGTTAACTGGCTTTTTATGCAAATCTCTTGGGATAGCTATTTGATACACTATCTTGTTCTAGCTGTTAGAAGTAGTTTCTCCTTAAATGATTGTTTATTTAGTATGACTATGTCTTATGGTTACTGATCATGGTAATTCTTTGTTTGCCATAAGTTTATTCAGGGACATGTGGACCAACAATATTGCTTTTCCCTCCTAGCTATAGAAACTTCGTTACCCAAAAGCCAAAAACGCTTTCTCATGTACTATTAATAGTGTTATGATCTTTGTTTGCCTTCTTTTTCTCCAGGGCAATCTGAAATAGTAAAGTTTCTCCTTTCTAAAGGAGCTGATGTTGATGCAATATCAGATCTCGGGACACCGCTCGTTCTTGCTGCTCTTAAAGGACATCCTAGTGCTCTCAAGATCCTTTTGCAGCACGGTGCAGATGTACTATTCAAATGATTTGTTGATATGTCGTCTTTTTAGTCCAGTTCTCTCTTTTGCTGGGTCTTTGCTACGTTCTGCAATTGTACGCACATGTATTTGAGGGCCTTTTTGGTTGGTAACTAACCATGCCACGCCAAAAGTTAGGCAGTTTCTTTGCTGCAACATGGGTACCATGTGTCACTGACTCAAAAAATTGAGTAGGGTTCCTTAGGCTTGGCAAGTATGGCACTCATTTTCATCATCCAACCATACACATGCTTAGTAAAAGTGTGGCTTTTGGTGTGTGAGCCACACCAGGCATGGTGGGACCGGTGACCCACACAACAACTCTGAAAAATCACTGGGAACAAAGGGATATATAACTATATAAGCTATACTCCTAGAAAAGAAGAATCAGCTCCGCCCATTTTCCCTTCCAAATTCATTTTTCTCTTGAAACTTTGTCATATTTTGGCATGAAAATGAAGTACTTTGTCTAATTTTTCCAGCCCAACAAGGGTGGTGGTCTGTTTGGAATTATAGACGTGGCATTACACAAATCTTCTGTGTCCTGTGTGAAGCTATTGATTCAGGTATGGCATCCTTTGTTTATTATACTTCAGTAGGAATGTATGATATCTATAAACTTATGTCCGATCTAGTTATCTCTGTATTAACAACTAGACAACGGTATGATGGGCTTGCCTTCTATATTTGGTCTGATAGGGTGGAGCTAATATGAGTGGTGATAATCCTTTGGCAAAGGCTGCAGAGAAGGGCTTAACTGAAGCTATTAAGTGCTTGTTGGAAGCTGGTGCAGACCCAAATGTTGTTGACAGGGTAAGAATGCTTCTTTTTGTCACATATTCTCGTGTCTTGCTTGGCTCTATAGTTTCAGCAGACGTTTTATACTGATGTGCAACAACCGTATGAGTTATGATGCAAGTACAACTACATCATGCTATCTGCAAAATAACAATAAAAGGCTGTGCTAAGTGGACGTGGAGTATGTGATCCCGAGCTCACATGAGCTCGGAATCTCAGGCGTCCAGTATAGCTTCGTGATTCGAAGAATTGAATGCTGAGGGTCCCATCTGGAACAGATAAATCCACTTATATAAAGCTATACTGACCAGTGACCAGACATGTGGATCCTTGAATGCACGGACGTTTGACGCCGGGGACGGAGCGAGGCAGAGCCGTGGCTCGACACGTTGCCGGCGTCCTGATCCGTGGATCAGATCCGGCGCTCTCCGGTAATGGCGGCACTGCCTGCAGTAAATGCGTTGGGAGCATCTTTCTCCTACCTTTAGCCCTAGGTTACCCGATTGTTGAGAGCGGCGACCTGGTGGGGAAAACCTGCAGCGACTAGGCGACTGCGTGCTTGGGTAGGCATGGAGTTCTTGATGCAGCCCGTAAATAGGTACGGATCTGCTTGTTAGTGCTGCTCATTCGCCACCGATTTTATTTTGGTCATTGACAGAGATCTGATTGGTCTGGTTCCTATCTTTTGTAGGCAGCAGGACTCTGCTAGAAGAGGTCAACGAGAACAAGATGAACATGGAGCCTCTTCATTACCCTGTGAGTCTGTGACGACGACGCCGGTGGTGGAGTTGCCGGCCAGCACGGAATCAAGCGCCAACGACCAGATTTGCACTGAGGGCGCTGTTCCAAGGGCAGGCAGTGCAGACAACCTCAAGCTTCAGAGCACTCCATCGAGCAGGTTGACCAAAAAACACCTGGGTGGACGCAAAGGTATGAAAATTAGTGATGGAAACTAGCTTTCTGTCTGCATTGACTGACTTGCACTGCGTCTGTTCTTGTTATGAAGTCTCTGAAAATTTATATGTAACGTGACTAGGAGACATTCTGCTAATCAAACTATTGTCAGATCAATAAAACTGTATGTCCAAGCTTGGCCTTGGCTAAAGATAAATAAGTCTACTCAATATGTATAGCGTGGTGTATGCGAATTATTAGGATGTAATAAGGGGACTGATTAGTTTGACATATTGTCTCGCAAATGCAGGGTCCGGGTTGGGGCAGCTGAGCTAGGTAGAGCCCCATGTGCTGATAGGAGGATATCAGGGCTGGAGAAAATTGTTCAAAGGTGAGACTTATTTTGAGATGGAGGGAGTAGTTTGGAAGAATGATTTGACATAGTTGGTGATGTGTGTTTAGAGGAGAAAGTGTAGCTGGTAGTACGCTTATGGGGATTTGAAAAAACAATTGATTTTTTCTGTATGTTGCTTGTGCCTGGGTGGTACTTCAGCCATGCTGAATTGTTAGTCAGGAGGGATTATTCATGTATGATAAAAGCACACAAGGCCGCACCAAGAAAAATTAGGAAATTATGAGAGTGTTCATGCCACAGTAGTAAAAGTGGCACTGTAGTTTTATTGGGTTTATGTATGCATGATTTGTGAAAAAACTGTGCTGAAAATCATTTGTACGCCCTGGTTCTGTATTGACAACCAGATTCAACCAGGATGTGCTATGGTTGTTGCAGGAGACAGAGTGCATGGTGCCACAGCTAACAAATGATGACAGTTCAGCTAATGAGTCAGGGAATAGCCTAGTGGGATTATTGCCTCCAGCAAAGAGGAAGGAGATGGGAAGGCCTACAAGCAGAGAGAAGGCGTTGTACGAGGGTTTGAGCATAAGGACAAGATTCAGCACCATTTGTGGGCGTCAGGGGCATAAGCAGGCAACCTGCCCAGATCGCCGAGATGTCCCAAAGCAAGTTCGGAGACCAGCACGCTGCAAGAATTGTGGAGTTGAAGGTCACCGTCGCAAGTCGCAACAACTGCCACAAAGCAGCGGAACTTATTAGACTCAATAAAGCATGATGAGCAGACAAAGTAGTCAGTGAAACTGTTTAAGATAATTCCAACGCTCTATGTTTGAACAATTTTTCAGTTGTGTTGTACTAGTATTTTAATTAGTTGGTTGGTGTGTAAAGTATGAGGTAAAAAACTTAGTTCAATTAAGTCATTTCATCATGAGCCTGTACTGATGGTGTTTTAGGGCTACTTCTGATCTCAGGCGTTTGAGTCGTTGTATAGAGAAACACTTACCTGTGTTGCCTGATCTGGTACTTAAAGACAACATAATAATTCAGTCCTGCTTACTTTTGCTAGATGAATGAGCCAAAAAAAAATTTAATACAGCAGTCAATCAAGAGGGCTGCATTTATACGGCTGTATCCATCCTTTTGTATATGTGGAGACGGCCCTAGCCATGCATTCAAATTTTGAACTCAATGAGTGGGAGGACTGTGAAGGCTGTACCATGGTTCGCGTAGCTGAAGCGAGGTTTTTGTGCAGCTGTTTACAAGGAGACGCTATGGCTCCATCTGTCCTCTCCAGCGCTGGATCGGCAGTCACGCGAACTGAATAATGCTCTAGGGGAGGTGTGCTTTCAGTGAAGGTACTTTTGATTCGATCTGTGTGTGGCTCTGTTTTACCTTACTGTGATCTTCTTCAGTTTGAGATGATTACTGTTAGATGTGTATAGCCCTTTTCGGTTTATCACCATTGTATAAGGGGTCTCTTGCACTTTACCACACACGTGTATATGTATTGGCCTTTGGCCCTCCTGAGAATACGGTTGCTATCTATCCAACATGGTATCAGATGCCAGCTAGCTCCTCCCTTCAGCACGATGCAACTCCGTGCGTCCTGAACCTAGTCTGCCCATCGCCGGCCGTCGCTCTCTCTCCGGCCATCTCCCTCTCTGGCCGCAGCCGCCACCCACCCATTCTGCTGCTCCCCTGCCTCCTCGGCCTGCCCGGTCGTCACCTTATCTGGCCGCCGCCTCCTTTGACCTGCTCGGTCGCCGTTGCGGCCTGGCCCGGATCCAGCCGCCGCCCCCGCTCGGTTGTCGTTGCGGCCTGGCTCAGCTCCGGCCGCCGCCCCGCTGCTGGTCTTGTTGTACTCCGCCCCAACCTCCTCGAGTACGGCCGTGAGTCCCCGTCCGTCTCCTGCGCCCCAGCTGCTGTCCGGCCAGGCCAGCTCTTCCAGGGCGGATCTGAGGTTGGGAGGGTGATGCTTCTCCCCTCTGCTCGGCGCTCCTTGAGCGAGCGTGCGTACGGGCGCGTGAGCGGGGTTCGTTTCCTCTCGATCCAGATCGGGCTTTCCTGTACTCGTTGACCAAAAAAAAAGAAGAAGAAGAAAAAAGAGCGAGATCCCTCAGTATGTCATCTTCGGGCTATGTGGTTGTTCCTCGCTGCTCGGTGATCTTTGATGGCACCAACTATGCTGAGTTTGTGGGCTTCATGCGTATCCATATGCGCGGCCTTCTGCTGTGGGGCGTTCTCTCTGGTGAGGTACCCTGTCCGTCCTGCCCTATTGCTCCGGTTGCTCCTGTGCCGCCAGTTCCGCCGGTACTTGCTGCTGATGCTTCTCAGGCTGATCGGGATGCAGCTAAGGCCCTTGATGATGCTGCCGTCGATGCTTATGATCAGCAGGTCTCTACATATTCTGATGCTCTCTCTGTCTACCGGGATGACTTGTCTGCTTACACTCAGTGGTGCAATGATGATGCTCGGGCTACTGTTGTTCTCACTGCGAGTGTGCTCCCTCAGTTTGCTTCCGAGTTCATGGGTCTCGGCACTGTTGCAGCTATGTGGTCCTATCTTTGTCAGCGCTATCAACTCTCTGGTGATGCTCTCTACCTGTCTGTGGTGCGTCAGGAGCATGCTCTTCAGCAGGGTGACTCATCTGTTGATGAGTTCTATTCACAGTGCTCTGCCATCTGGCGTCAGCTTGACTCACTAAGGACCGTCGTTTATGGCACCTGTCGTTGCTGTCAGACTACTCGGTCTGATCTGGAGTTTCAGCGGGTTCACGAGTTCTTATCTCGTCTCCGCTCTGAGTTTGAACCCAGACGTGCTCACCTGCTTGCTCGTGGTCGTGTTCCTATCTCAGAGGTGCTTGCCGAGCTTCGTGCTGAGGAGACCCGCCTTCGCTCTGCTGGATTGCTGGTGGTCCTGTCTGTGCTGGCTGCTAATGCTCCTGTGTCGTCTGCTCGGCTCACCGCTCCACCGCTCCTCCCCACACCTTAAGGGGGGTGAGTCGACCTGCTTACACTGAGAGGGGTCGGTCGCGTCGTGACACCTTCTGTGGCTACTGCTCTCGGCCAGGTCACCCAGAGTCTGATTGCCGTGAGAAGAAGCGAGACCAGCGGCGCTCCTCTTCCAGTGGGACTCCTGGATCTTCCTCGACTCCATCACTCACTGACCAGGATATTGTGAGGCTCAAACGTCTCTTGGCTTCCTCAGGCTCTTCCTCGCCTGGTTCAGCTGCTGCTGTGACTGCAGCCACGTCTCCACCACCGCACGCATCTACACAGTCAGGTACATCTTCGTGGGTTTTGGATTCTGGAGCCTCCTTCCATATGTCTTCTGATTCTTCCGTATTGTCTTCTCTTTGACCTCTTGATTCGCCTATTAATGTTCTTACTGCCGATGGCACATCTCTTTCTGTTGCTAGTCATGGTATTCTTTCCACTCCGTCTTTTTCTGTTCTGAGTGTTTCACATGTTCCTCGTCTTACCATGAATCTTTTTTCCGCTGCCCAACTTACTGATTCTGGTTGTCGTGTCATTCTTGATACCGACTCTTGCTCCATTCAGGATCGTCACACCAAGGCTTTGGTTGCAGCTGGCCCTCGGCGCCGTGAGTCAGAGGGCCTTTGGGAGGTTGACTGGATTTGTGTTCCTTCCGCTGCCACCACTTCTGCCAGCTCCCATGCTCTTGCTGCCTCTTCATTTGCGTCCTTCCAGCAGTGGCATCATCGCCTTGGTCACATCTGTGGCTCTCGCTTGTCTTCTTTAGTTCATCAGGGCCTCTTAGGGTTTGTATCTGGAGATGTCTCCTTACATTGTAATGGTTGCAGACTTGGCAAACAGACTCAGTTACCTTATCCTACTAGTGCGTCAGTATCTCAGCATCCGTTTGACTTAGTTCATTCTAATGTCTGGGGTCCTGCTCCTTTTGATTCGAAAGGTGGTCATCGCTACTATGTTTTGTTTATTGATGATTTCTCTCGCTACACTTGGCTCTACTTCATGAAATCTCGTAGCGAGGTTCTTTCTATATACAAACGTTTTGCTGCCATGGTTCACACTCAGTTTGCCACGTCCATTCGTACTTTTCGTGCTGACTCCGCTGGGGAGTATATCTCTCAGCTGTTGCGTGGTTTTCTAGCGGAACAGGGTACTCTTGCCCAGTTTTCATGTCCTGGGGCTCATGCTCAGAATGGCGTTGCCGAACGCAAGCATCGTCATTTGCTTGAGACGGCTCGTGCGCTAATGATTGCTGCTTCCCTTCCACCCCATTTTTGGGCTGAGGCTGTTTCCGCATCCACCTATCTCATCAACATTCAGCCATCGACTGCTCTCTAGGGTGGTATTCCTATGGAGTGTCTCACTGGTCTCTCTCCTGACTACTCAGCTCTTCGTATGTTTGGATGTTTGTGCTATGTTCTTCTTGCCCCCCGAGAACGCACCAAACTGACTACTCAGTCGGTTGAGTGTGTTTTCCTTGGCTACAGCGATGGGCACAAGGACTATCGATGTTGGGATCCTGTAGGTCGTCGCTTGCGCATCTCGCGTGATGTGACTTTTGACGAGTCTCGTTCTTACTACCCACGTTCTTCTTCCTCGAGTTTCTCTGTCGATGACCTTTCTTTCCTTCTCCTTCCCGATACACCCTGCTACGTGCCTCCTGTGTCACCTCTTCCTCCGACACCTTTCATTCCTTTTCATTCACCATCGACCCCGTCTTCTCCATCCTCCTCCTCTACCTCTCCACCATCATCTCCAGTCGTCGTCCTCTCTCCCTGTTTCCTCTTCACTATACTCGTCGATCTCGTACTGAGGATGTCTCCTCTGACGAGCCTTCCACCTCTACTGCACCTCTCACGCCTCCCCCGATTCACAATCTCCGTGCTCGGCCTCGCCCCCCACCTGATCGCTACTCCCCTACTCGGTACGGTCTTTCTGTTATTGCTGAGCCCACTTCCTATCAGACTGCCATGCCTCAACCTGAATGGCAACTTGCGATGGCCGAAGAGCTTGCTGCTCTTGAGCGCTCTCGCACATGGGATCTGGTTCCCCTTCCTTCCGGTGTCCGTCCCATCACCTGCAAGTGGGTCTACAAGATTAAGACTCGCTCCGATGGTTCTCTTGAGCGCTACAAAGCTCGTCTTGTGGCCCGTGGTTTTCAGCAGGAGCAGGGGCGCGGTTATGATGAGACATTCACTCCTGTGGCCCACATGACCACTGTCCGCACTCTTCTTGCTGTGGCTTCTGTTCGTCAGTGGTCCATCTCTCAACTTGATGTTCAGAACGCTTTTCTCAATGGTGAATTGCGTGAGGAGGTTTATATGCAGCCACCACCGGGGTACTATGCTCCTGATGGTATGGTCTGTCGACTTCGCTGCTCCCTATATGGTCTCAAACAGGCCCCTCGCGCCTGGTTTGAGCGCTTTGCCTCAGTGGTGACTGCCGCTGGTTTCTTGCCCAGTAATCATGATCCAGCATTGTTTGTTCACACGTATCCTCGTGGTCGGACTCTTCTCCTTCTCTATGTTGATGACATGATCATCACTGGTGACGACTCTGATTACATTGCCTTTGTTAAGGCTCGTCTTCGCGACCAGTTTCTCATGACTGATCTTGGTCCACTTCGCTATTTTCTTGGGATTGAGATCTCCTCGACCTCTGATGGCTTCTACATCTCCCAAGAAAAATGTATTCAGGATCTTCTTGCTCGCGCTGCTCTCGGTGATGAGCACACTGTTGTCACTCCCATGGAGCTCAACGTTCAGCTTCGTGCCTCTGATGGTGACCCTCTTCCTAATCCCACTCGCTACCGTCACCTTGTTGGCAGTCTTGTCTATCTTGCTGTTACGCGTCCTGACATCTCCTATCCTGTCCACATTTTGAGTCAGTTCGTTTCAGCCCCCACCTCTGTCCACTATAGTCATCTCCTCCGTGTTCTATGATATCTTCGTGGCACGATCTCTCAGCGCCTTTTTTTCCCTGCTCCAGCTCCCTTGCGCTCCAGGCCTATTCTGATGCTACCTGGCTAGTGATCCCTCTGATTGACGCTCACTGTCTGCTTATTGTGTCTTTCTTGGTGGCTCTCTTATTGCCTGGAAGACAAAGAAACAGACTGCAGTTTCTCGCTCGAGTACAGAGGCTGAGTTGCGAGCCATGGCTATGCTGACGGCTGAGGTGATCTGGTTACGATGGCTACTTGAGGATTTTGGTGTGTCTGCTACTACATCGACTCCTTTATTGTCAGACAGTACTGGTGCTATCAGCATTGCGCGTGACCCGGTGAAGCATGAGCTCACCAAACACATCGGTGTGGATGCCCACTTTGTGCGTGCTACTGTGCAGGATCAGACTCTCGCTCTTCACTATGTGCCCTCTGAGTTACAGTTGGCAGACTTCTTCACGAAGGCACAGACTCGACCGCAGCATAGTTTTCTTCTCTCCAAACTCAGTGTTGTCGATCCACCATGAGTTCGAGGGGGGTGTTAGATGTGTATAGCCCTTTTCGGTTTATCCCCATTGTATAAGGGGTCTCTTGCACTTTACCACACACGTGTATATGTATTGGCCTTTGGCCCTCCTGAGAATACTGTTGCTATCTATCCAACAATTACCATGTCCAGGACGGTGAAGCTTCTGAGGCGTCCGTGAATCAAGGGAAGCCATCTGAGGTGGCGAGGAGTTCATCATCTAGTCTTTCTTCTGTGCCTGACGACGTAAGCGTCTGTAATCTTGATGCAGTTCGTGAATGAACACCGGAGTACTTAGGAGCCAAATTTTGCAGGGGATCGATGCTGGAGATGTTGATGTAGTGAGCGTGCGGTGGTTTTAGAAGGCCGAGGCCCGCTGGTCTAAGACGAGTCGTGTACTGTAGGGAGGATTGGTAGCTCCAATGGCGGGGCTAGACGCTAGATGCCATAAATTTGCTGGGTGGCGGCGTTAGTCCACAATCTACGGTGAGACGAACTGTATCGTCTGCTTCCATCCGAGCCGGCGTGTGCGTGACTGACGGGGTAACGTCTGCTGCGGGTCAGATGTGGGCCACCGGTCAGAATAAAAAAACAAATACGCAACTTATACCTGTGCCTATACTAGCAGCGGTGGACATCTCGAGGGAAGCCAAGGGCATAGATACCGGACGTACCTGTGCTCGAGATCACATTAACACTTTCGGTGCTAAGTTACTCCCTCCATAAACTAATATAAGAGCGTTTAGAATACTAAAATAGTGATCTAAACGCTTTTATATTAGTTTACAGAGGGAGTACCTTTTTTTGCATAACTTGTTTCGCCTTTTCCCCTTGGTGTCGTGTCTTTGTTAATTTGGTCAGGTGAATAATATGGTTTGCATTAATCGTGTCTACAACATTGCTTATTTCCCTTTTACATCAACAGTTTGGTAGATTGCCAATAGAGTTGGCTGTTGAGTATGGGACGTGGGAAGATGTCGAGATTCTCTTTCCTTTCACCTCTCCCATTTCAACTGTGGCCAATTGGAGCGTTGATGGAATCATTAGTCATGTGCAGATGGAAATCAAGCAACTTGAGGTATGTCACTGCAGCAATTTTCTTGCACACCCACGTCGATTTTGATTCCATGTTAATTCTCCGAGCAGTTTTGGCATCAAGTCGATGTTTAACTAAACTTCATAGATCAAGAATAGCCCAAGCTTAGCTTGCTCTTCCTGCTAGTCTAATGCACAAGTATTTTCTTGCATATGCAATTATGCATACCTGTTAAAGCTCTGTTCTGAAAACTCATTTTATTTGAACGATGTTTTTTGGATAGGTTATTTTGCTCAAATGGTAATTCATTAACTCTGAAAAGTCATTTTTATTTGGATGGCTCTTTATTAAATAAGATTTGTTTGAATAATATTTCATTAAAGCTGATTCTTTTAAAAATAACTAGGAGACATTCATTTTCTTAAATAGCAATCACCTTTTCCAGTTTGAGTAGCAAGTTTTTCGAAAAGGAGTTTGAGTAGCAAATGAAAACTGGATTTTCAAATCTTGCATTGATTAAAGCATTTGTTTCTTGTATTTATTCACTTCACCTTAACATCTTGCTTGAGTACTGATTCTCCCGCAGACGCTTCTGACTCATGTTATTGTGAGTTGCCCAGGATGATAATTTTGTGGAGAAGAGGATTTCTGACCTAAAGCAACAAGCAGAAGAAGCATTTAAGAAGCAAGATTACCTAAATGCGTCAGTGTTCTACACACAGGTACGCTGCCGAACTATTTTTTATTTCTAGACTGGAGGCACAGTCATGAAACATGCTCCTCCATTACAAATTAGTTGATTTATTATTAAATTTATTGGCCTTAACAATGTGTAAGAAATGACCAATTACTTTGTAATGCTATCACATGTACTTGTTGAAAGACTAGTCACTAGTGTGTGTATCCTGTTACACATACTAGTGTCTAGTCTGGAATGTGTAAACTGGTCAGTGTTTCTCGAATGTGGTAACAACAACAATTTTCCTCTGTTTTGTCTGTTGCAGGCACTGAAGATGGATAACTTCGACGCAAAGTGGTTATCAAACGAGGATGGATAACCTCTGCTGGCTTCGCATGGGTGATTGAGAAAGGTCTTACGAGGATGCAACTGAATGCAGAAAGCTGCAGCCAAAGTGGGCAAAGGCGTACTATCGGCTAGGAGCAGCTCAAATTTTAATGGAGGTGCAGTGGGAGGGTTCAAACTGACAATTTCGTTGCTCCTTTCACATGTGTCATGTCATTTGATTTCACTATGCACTTGCGTTCCATAGGATTATGATGATGCTTATCACTCACTCTTGCGTGCTTTGGAGTTGGACCCAGGAAGTCAAGAGATTGCGAGATTACTCTTGTAAGAGATTCATCTTCCATCTTGTTTTTTTCTTGACCGATAACATTGTTAGGTGCTTCAGATTCTTGACCGGTATTTTACATGTTTTGATCAACTGATTCTTGCAGGGAGACTATTGAGGTGGAAATGGTATGATCAACCCTGCATGCCAATTGCGGAGAGAAGCTCTTTTTTTGTGGGTGCGTGTTCTCGGATAAAAGCATTGAACTTCAAAATATGGTGCGTGATCCATGCACCGTAGCAGCAGCTTAGAGCAAAAGGTCTGAACTTTTTCCATGCGAACCAAAATGGATCAGAAGATAACGGAACACAATAAGGTCTGAATATACTCATCTTCTGCCAAACATTTCACTCTAGCACAGTTAGGAATTTCATCATCCGCTGCTGCCACACCTCCACATACTAACAGGATGCAGGTTTCAGAGAACTCAAAAATAAGTAACCAGCAACATGGTTTGCTCTAAGCATCTGCAGTGGTCCTCCATGAATCACGCACAGATAGGCGCCATAATTTAAAGTTCAGCTTTTTGTCTGAAAACACACACACACACACACACGAAAGAGCTCCCATTCTGCCTGAGCTTCCCTCCGCAGATGCACGATGATCACTTCAGCTCCATCGCCTCCCTGCAAAATTCGGTTGACCAAAACATTTAAGCAAGGAACAGATTCTACCGGTTACAGCAACACCAAGAATCTGCAGCAGCTAGGAATGTTAACCTCAAAAAAGCACTAAGATGGAAGATGGAAGATGGATTCCTTACCAGAACAGTTTCTCGATCTCTTCGCTTTCCGGGTCCAACTCCAGAGCCCACGAGAGTGAGGAATACGCAGCATCATACTCCTGCGCAACGCAAGAGCACGGTGGAATCAAATGACATGGTGCATGTGAAAGCAGCAACGAAATCGTCAGTTTCGACCCTCCCATTGCATGCACCTTCATGAACATTAGAGCTGCCCCTTTCCGATAGTGCGCCTTTGCCCACTTCGGGCGCAGCTTTGTGCATTCAGCGGCATCCTCGGAAGCCCTTCGCCCTTCACCCATGCGAAGCAAGCAGAGGCTCCTGTTTGATAACAGCTTGGCGTCGAAGTTATCCATCTTCAGTGCCTACACCAGACGAGACGGTGAAAACTTGCTCTGGTTGCCACATTCCAGAAATGCTTGGATCACTTTACACGACCAATCATTTGTCATTTGTCCTCCGTACAATGACCAAGAAACGAAAACAGTGATAGAAGACCATCTGCCACCTGAAATTTATTGGCCCAGACAATGCCACCGAGTACTTTCCGATGACACGCGACGACCGACACGAAAGACAACGAACGCTGAGCTTTATTCCGGTACCAATCAACCTCGCTGCTGGTCGTGCACGTAAACAGGAAAAGCAACGCACCAGATTGATTAGTCCGGCAGAAGCTCACGTACGTATAGCTAACTGATCGATTGAAGTATGATCTAGCAGTAGCACTAGTACTCACGCACACGGAGGCTTGGCTTATTGCCACAGGCTCGTCTAGCTCTTTACCTATTCGGTTAGGAGTTCTAATCGACACATAGTATGAGTCAGGTTTAATTCTGACAAAATTCATCCCGACGAAATGGAAGACCGACATCAATGCATTCTTGTTTTATTTTCAATGAAAGTGTCCCCATTGTTTTTTACCACTAGCTCTAGAATGGAACTTATCAAGACTATGCTGTCCAGCCAATACTCCATATTGTGACAAGATGCACACACCAGTGACTAATCTCTCAACAAGTTCATGTGATAGCATTACAAGCTAACTGGTCATTTTTTACACACTGCAAAGGTCAATCAATTTTTATAATATGGATCAGCCAAATTGTAATGGAGGAACATGTTTCATGGCTGTACCTCCAGTCTAGAAAGAAAAAAATAGCCTGACAATATACCTGTGTGTACAACACTGATGCATTTTGATAATCCTGCTTCTTAAATGCTTCATCCCCTTGTTGTTTTAAGTCAGACATCTTCTTTTTCACAAAACTACCATCCTGGACAACTCACAATAACTTGAGTCAGACCTCTTATATACATATTCAACTTGGGAGGTCAGATGTGTGTGAGGAAGAATCATTACTCTACTAAGATGTTAAGGTGAAGTGAATGAATCCAAGAAATAGTTCTAATCAATGCAAGGTTTAAAAAATCAGTTCTCACTTGCTAAGCAGACTGGAAATGGAGAGAACTATTTAAGAAAATGAATCTGCCTCCTTGTTATTTTTTGAAAAAAAAAACAGATTTCATGAATTACAATTTGAGCACAGTGACATATGAGCAAAACAAGCTTTCCAATAAACATCATTCCAATAAAATAAGTTTTCAGAACAGAGCTTAAAGAGTGATGCAGATGCAAGAAAATACATGTGCGTTTGACGAGCAGGAATAGGAAACAGCTTCAGGAAATTCAGATTGTTGTTCTATGAAGTTTTAGTTAAACCCCTACTCGATGCCAACATTGTTCAGAGAGTTAAGGTGGACAAAATTGCCATGGGCATGCAAGAAAATTTCTACAACTACGTACCTCGAGTTGCTTGATTTCCATCTCCACATGCTTAATGATTCCATCAACAGTCCAATTGGCCACAGTTGAAATGGGAGAGGTGAAAGGAAAGAGAATCTCGACATCTTCTCGTGTACCATACTCAGCAGCCAACTCTATTGGCAATCTACCAAACTGGTGAGGGACAAGCGAAGCTTTAGCAAAGCGATATTCAACATTTAGGAAATAAGCAATGTTGTCGACACTACTACTTAAAACCATATTACTCAACTGACCAAATTAACAAAATACATGGCACAGACGGGGAAAGGCGAAACAGCGACAAGCTTATGTAGAAAAAATGCAACTTAGCATAATGTTGCTGTACTTACGTTATAACTGGTAAGGATGTTACATATTAATTTAAGACATGTGTACTGAAACTACAAAGCCAAGCAAGACACAAGAATATGTGACAAAAAGAGAGCATTCTCACCCTGTCAATCACATTTGGGTTTGCACCAGCTTCCACCAAACACTTAATAGCTTCAGTTAAGCCCTTCTCTGCAGCCTTTGCCAAATGATTATCACCGTTCACATTAGTCCCACCCTATCAGATGCAAATACATAAGACAAGCCCATGAAACAATTGTCTAGTCACTAATACAGAGATAACTAAATCAAACTTCGGTTTATAGAAATCCTATATTGCTACTGAAATCTAATTAATAAACAGGGGATACAGTACCTGAACCAATAGCTTCACACATGACACAAAGGATTTGTGTAATGCCATGTCTAAAGGTACAAACGCACCATTACCCTTGCTGGGCTGGAAAAATAAATTAAATAAATCAATTTCATGCCAAAATATGACCCAAGAGAAATATGGAACTTGTAAGGGGAAAAAAGCTGAGTTGATACTTCTTTTCTACAAGCATAGCTTATATAGTGTGGGTCGCCAGTGATTTTTCAAAGAGCAGAGCCTGCTTGACTAGTTTGCGAAGGTAGCTGATATTTGCCACAGTTTTTTCTAAGCATGACGATGATGAAAACACTGTTTTAAATAGCCCGCTATAGCTCCGCTATAGCACGCTATAGCGTTTACAAAAGGTCTTGCGCTAAGAGACTTTGGTCCAAACAAATGAACAAACATTTTAAATAGCGCGCTATAGCTCCGCTATAGCACGCTATAGCATTTGAAAGAGGTCCGCCGCTAAGATGCTTAGCGCGCTATTTAAAACTTTGGATGAAAATGAGTGTCATACTTTGCCAAGCCTAAGGGAAGCCTACCACACTTTTTTGAGTCGGGGACATATGGGACCCATGTTGCAGGAAAAGAACATTGCGGCAAGCACAGATATCAAACAAACATGTAAATAACTAAGCCACCAACCCAAAAAGGCCTCAAATACAGGCGGTGCAATTGAACAACGTAGCAAAAAGCCAGCAACAAAGAGAACAGGAGTTAAAAGATGACATAACAAAAGATTTGAAAAGTACATCTGCATTGTGCTGCAAAAGGATCTTCAGAATACTAGCATGTCCTCTAAGAGAAGCAAGAGTGAGTGGTGTCCCAAGATCTGATTGTGCATCAACATCAGCTCCTTTAGAAAGAAGAAACTTTACTATTTCAGACCGCCCTGGAGAAAAAGAAGGAAAACAAAGATTATACCACTAATAATAGTACATGAAAACGTTTTTGGGCAAGAAAGTTTCAGTATGTAGAAGGGAAAAGCAATATTGCTGGTGCACAATTCCCTGAATAAGCATATGGAAAACAAAGAATTACCATCATCGGTTACCATAAGACATAGTCATAGTAAATAAACAGTCATCTGAGGGAAAACTACTTCTAACAGCTAGAACAAGATACTGTATCAAATAGTTATCTGGAAAGACTTGCATAAATAGACAGTTAACATACTAAGTAAACAGACATTTTTTGGGAACTTGTTTCACCTGCTAGAACAAAATAGTATGTGAAATAGATATTCCGCAAGAAGATCCACAGACAAATAAGGTATATATACAATGCCTAAAGAAATTGGTACCACCATGATGACAATGGAGTATTTTACATTTGTGAGAGATAGAAACCCAAATTAATGTGACAACTATGTTAAAAGTTTACGGCTAAAAAGACTCAATATGCAGATGCTGATGAACATGAGAAGCAAATAAGATCAGAGTTGTTTT